GCAGGGTGGGAACACTGTGAACATAGAGAAAAATAAGTCGGGGAACCAGGGTAAGGAGAGACTGGATAAGATCTGCAGTTGACTCCCGTCTGACCAGACTGGGATCAGTATCTTCGACTTTAGCGCCAGAATCTTCGAGATTGAAAGTAAGCATAGCCTCCGCCTGATCTATGACCTGATTAACTCGCGCAAGAAGGCTGACCGCGGCCTCAGAAACCTATAAAAGGAAAAACCATATCAAAAAGCAAGTGATTTAAATAGAAAGGACTGATAAGAACAGAGGTCGGAGGCCTTTTTGACTCAGAGAGCCATATAGTATATTTAAAGATTGAATTCAATTAAATGTGAATATAATAAGCCTCTGGATTTATTCTTTGGAGGTACCGAAATCCCCAAATATGAAGTTTCTAACTCCAACTTTATCTGAGAGAGCCAGATGCAATCATCAAAGGAGCCACACCTGGCTCGCGAGCCATATGTTGCCGACCCCTGGATTAAAGGATTAAACTTTAAAGTAACGAAGTAACAAATTCTATCGTTATTAAGCATTGGAAAAGGGAGTTAGGGGAAAATCGGTGCCTTAACGCAAATTTGCGGCACAAAAGATATCTGCTATGTTATCCATTGCCAGCGCCGAGGATCGCAACTGTGCCAGAAAGGACGTGGTGGTGATCATCACATACTTTTTTGTCAAAGACGAAGATGTAAGTAGCATCTTACTTACTCGCACCTCTACACACACAATTTTCGTACATCGAGACGATATCACGAAGAATGCAGCTGGATGTGGTCGTAGTTGCTGAAGCCACGTCTACAGTACGGCTCAGAATTCGTGCAACATGCCGACATCTGCGAAAGATTGATATTCACTTGCTAATCGCTATGGAGTCAGGTTAAAAGACTGATTAGCGTGTAGCCTATTCTCAAGTCATTTTAGTCTTGATAAGATGCCGGCTTTTTAACGAGCTTCGCTCTGGCCGTTAACAAGACATGTGTACTGTAAAAAGTGGCTACTAAAGTAGTATACATTTTTTATCGTTGCTTTTATCTACCTCTATAAATTAAAATATATTTTATGGAAAACATGCACAAAAAATTCTTTATTGTACTCGTTTCGTAAGAAATTACGCCTTTTTCAAATGTTATACTTAAAAAGAGTGTCTTTTGGATTAAAAAA